AAAGGCCTTCCTGGCCACCTTTCCAAAGGGGCCTATGAATCCCACCCATTCCCTGTCTCCCCTCTGATGTGTTTTGTTTTTCTTCATAGCATTGATCACGCTTGAAACCTGTTTGTTTTTTACTATCTGTCCGTGTCCCACACTAGCTCGTAAGCTCAGGAGGGCAAGGTCTTGTCCTCTATCCTCTGTCCTCTTGTCCTGCTATCTCCCCAGTGCCTACAACAGTGCCTGTCACATAATAAGTGCTCAGTAAATACTTGTGGAATGAATGCAAAAAAAAATAAGTGAACAAATAAACCAGTGTTAGACTAGGAGACTGGGAAGGATGAGAGCTGTGCTGTACTCAGGAAGCTGAGTCTGCAGCCGGGCTAAGACTAGAAAACCTTTCTGCTCAGTCACCCTCCCTCCTGACTCAAATCCATAGGCATTTTCTGAGGGCCAGCCTCTGGGCCAGAGGGAGACACACGTGATGGAATGTTTGCAGCCCAACGCGCAATTTCTGGCCCGAGAAGTCGACAGTCTTGTTCTGGGGAACCATGATGTAAACCGAACACGTTACAGCAGCGCCCCGGGCATGCAGGAAATGGAAAATAACGCGTCCCTGCGAGAATGATTTTGTCCTGCCCTGTACCCACGGGACACTTAGGAAACTAGGGCATGCGTGGGACCACGCAGTAGACAGACAACCGCATCACCCGAGTGTCGCTTGGCGGTCAAGCTCACGCCTCCAGAGATGGGTAGAGGAATCTCTATGAAAGTTGAAGAATTCGATCTGTTGAAAAAAAAAAAAAAAAAATTGAAAGAAACAAACAAAAAATTAGATTAAAAAAAAAAAGTATCTTTATTGTTGAAAATAGTGCAGATGTCCCTAGGAATTAGATCTTTAAAGGAAAAATGAAAAAATACAGAAAGATTGTAAAAAAATAAAATAAAGGTCACGTGCTCTCCCCGTCGGGGAATCGAACCCCGGTCTCCCGCGTGACAGGCGGGGATACTCACCACTATACTAACGAGGA